AAAAGGTATGGAGACAGGATACATCCCTGGCATACATCATTTCACTAGGTCAGAAAAATAAAACTCTTTTCATTAGCAAAGAAAATAATTTTCATAAATTATAAATAAATTCCCAGAACATGAAGAACAGAATGAAGTACAAGAAAAAAAATATATCGAAGATGTACCAAATATTCCAAACATAGTTATAAAAATTCTTACGGTTATGATCAAAATATTAAAGGCATGCAATGATCCATGGTGCCCATATATATGACAAACTCTCTCCTTTCTCCTGTCCTTTCTCTTTATTGAGTTGGAACTGACTCATAGCTGATTCTCCAATGGTTTTTCTGAGGATGTAAATAACACAAATCATGGTTGCCTATCTTTCTTTTGCAGAGCCACTTGTGGATTTGAAATAGCAAAGAATTTCAGCCTTTGTGTTTATAAGCTGAACTGCCAATATACTAAGTCATCAGAACTCCTTTCATTATAACTATTAAAAGTAAGGAATTGTGCTGCCAATTAAAACATTTCCACTTGGAATCCACCAGCTGCTCTGTAGGAGAAAGATGGACAATCTTCTCCCCTGAGATTTACGGCCTCTGAAAACTCACTGGAGGGTCAGTTATGGGTCAGTTCCAACTTGATGTTACACCACACCAAGAAAGAGATCAAATAACTATGAAAAAAAGAAAAAACCAACCCTCAATTTCATTGCCATCAAGTGTGAACCAACTCATAGCTGATCCTCCATCAGGTATTCAAGAGGTTTTAAATCACAAGGAAGCAAACTGCTCATCTTTCTCACATAAAACAATTGGTGATGAAGACTTTGGATTACTAGTGCCACTCCAAAAGGATTCTACCACCAGGAGGGGGAAAAAAACACTAAAACATAATTTTTAGCATCATGTGGGATAGAAACATGTTAAAGAATTGGTAAGGCTTTCCAGGGTTTAACTTCATCTACCTTTCAAGTCTTGTATCCCCGTCACTAACACATTCATACTCGAAACTGTTCTTTCTGTCTTCCTCAGGGTGTCATATCTTCCTGAAATATCCACTAGCCTACTCCTCTCAGCAACCTACTCTCACATTTACCAATCTCCTGTCAGTTTTAATATCAGTCCTTTAATATTAAACTTTATATACCTGCTGAATTATGAAAATCAAAGTGCACTACTATATCCTGAGTTCAATACACAAAGCTCATCTCATTCACAGGACTTGATTTTACTTATTATTATAAGCCTTATAACAAATACTGTGCCAAAGAAGCTCTGTTACACAATTTTGAGTCTCTCAGCATATCTCACCATTGAGCCAACTGGCAGCATCATGGTAGATGGAGAAGAGAATGAGATTGGCAACAATTTCAACTTGCCCAGGTTTACAATAAACACTCTTGGAACCAGCAGCTAGGTTCAAATCAAAAGAGTAATTGAATTAGAAAATTCTGCTGTCAGGGACTTCTCCAGAGTGCTGACATGCAAAGATGTCAGTCTAGAGACTCAGGTGCCCCTGATGTAGGCCACAATTTTCACAATTACTTGCTATGCATCAGAGAGCTGGACAATGAACAAGAATGACAGAAGAATTGGTGCATTTGAGTTGTGGTGCTGGAGAAGAGTAATGAACATTCCATGGGCTTCCAAGAAAACAAACAGGTTTGTTGTGGAGAGAGCAAAACCAACCTGCTCTCTGTAGGTAGGATTTTGAAGCGCCATCTCACATACTTTGGACATGTTGTCAGAAGAGACAAGTCCTTGAAGAAGGACATCATGCTTGGAAGGGTGGTGGGACAATTCAGGAGAGGAAGACCCTGAATGAGATGGATTGACAGTGACTGGGGTAGTAGGGGGTAGGTGTGTCAGAGACAGTGAGATTGGCTCAGAATAAGAGAGAGTTCAGAGCTACTGTACATAGGGTTGCTATGAGTTGTAGACTTGACAGCACTTAACAACAATAACATATCACAGGGGAGCTCTGGTGGCCTAGTGGCAAGAAGCTGCAGTGCAATCCCAGAGATATGTGGTTCAAATCCACCAGATGCTCTGCCAGAAAAGGAGGGGCAATCTCCTCCTGCACCTGTCAGATCTGATTTGACGGTACAGACACACACAAAATAACACAATTTTAAAAAATTTATAAAAAAATAGCATATCACAGGGTCCCTATAACTGAATGAGAATTTAAATTCAACACTAGTGTTGCAATTCTTTTCTCTTTATAAAGGTACTTACTTTCTTCTTTCTTCGTGAGGTTTTTTCAGCATCTGCATAACTTCTGAAAAGCAAAAGAATAGTCAGCTTGAAATTTAAAAAGCTTAGACAAAATACATCCTCATAAAATTTAGCCTGTATCCTTTACTTTTTAGAAAAGGCACTAACCAAGAGTAAGTAAGCTTACTGTCCACAAAGGGCTCCAGGTCACATTAATAAAACTTTTCCAGCCTCATTACAGGGACGGGATCCCGAGGAAACTTTTTCAATTTCCTCTCTTGAGACCTTTTTAAAAACTGTTTCCCAGTCATTAGGATGTGAGCCTTACCCCAGGGTGCCATACTTAAACAAACCTTCTGCCCTAAGGTCTGTAAATACCAGGAGAGGCAGAAAATAGAAATTGTTGTAGTTTTTTAATAGTTACAAATTGTTTTCACAAACATG